AATGTTTTACATGAAAAGTGAAAAAACTGATTTCAATCGTCGATCCTTTTTTATATTTTATAATCTTTTAAGAATAACTTTTTTATAAAAATAAAAATTTGGATCGTTTACTTGTTACAAGAGTAAAAAAAAAAAATATATATATATTAACGAATGTACCGACGATCTTTATTATTTAAAACTCTGAAATTTCACCCTCGCGCGTATTTATTTTCCAACTATCCAGAGAAGTTGCGAAAGGTTCAACCCTCGACTTAATGGCGTCTCTGACTTACGACCAAAAATAATTTTACCCTCGCGATAGTAAGTGCAAATTTTCGAGCTTCGACCCAAAGTGCACTTAAGCAAATTCGTCGAAAATGTAGCGGCCGCCTTAATGAGCGTCGCTTTAATATGCGGCCAGATATTACGATCCTGTATCCCTCCTCCCAGGTTTTTTTTAGGTTAGGTTGGCAAACAGTTTATCGCTTCAATTTTAAGATTGTGTTCGCGCAAATCCCTCCCCAACCAGCCCCGAAATTGTCAATAAATGCGGCAAATATCTTATCCGCCTCGGGGACAACTTCTGATAAAGAACCTCTTCCTTACGAATCTCTACGTTCATTACGACCCTGCCACGTTTTTATGAAACTTACAGCAAATAAACCAGACGATTTTGAACGATATTGAATCTTACTTCAGGGGAGAGGTGTTCTCGAAAGAACAATTTTCTGTTAATCGTCCTCGATCGAGATCTTTTTTTCTTTTTTGAAACGAGATGAAATTCGAAAGAAGAAAGATTAATTGCTAATACGAGAATTTGAACTAATTCGCGCATAAAATCCTTCCTATGGAAAATGAATTCATAATTTATTTCATCAAAATAAACTACATACATTTATAATTTTTTTAAATCATTTACAACAATTAAAGTTAAAGTATCGCGTTACACATCAAGCATAAATTATATACAAATTAAAATTAATATCGCTTGGAAAATAACAATCGCTCGAAGCTATTTTCAAAACTCCCATTGAAAAAAAAGAAACCCTCCCCTCCATTGAAATCCTCGATTCATCCTACAATAATCTCGTTAACAACTCGGTGAAATCTCGAAACGAAGGAAATTTGCCATTATATCCATGTTTCTTTAAAAATTACCTCGTCCAAAGTGTCCAACAACCGCTCTCGGTACAGAAATGTCGCGAGTTGGTCGCGCTTGAGAGCCTAGGCGAAACGAGAGAAAGAGAGGCAAACAGAGAGAGAGAGAGGAAGAAAAAGTCGCGTAGACGGCGTTGAATTAATGAAGACACGAGGAGGAGGAGGAGGAGGAGAAGGAGAAGGGTTGACGTCGGTTCTGGAAACGGGTACAGGACCTAGAGAAAGAGGAGGGGGATTGTCTTCGCTCGAAAAGTGAATGAACGCGGAGAATTGGCTCCCTAAGGTCAGGGCCTGGCGTTTCGGCCCTGCTTCGGTCGAAATAAAATCTAGCAGAGAGGAGATAAAAAGAGCCGCGGCGAATTCCCGGCGGTCTGCAGCCGCGGACTGATACGAAAATAAGAAACCTCGACTAAAATTAACCGGCCGCTAAATTCTGCCCGCGCTTTCTCCCTTTCTCCTATTACCACTCGCCACTCTCTGCACTCTGTATACACGGTGAAATAAGTTTCTGAATTTTGGCGAAGGAGAATGGACGATTGTTTTCGAGTAAGTGATACCCTATTTATACGTTAAACATGGAATAATGGGGTATTCTAGTTTAACGAGAGCTTAAACTGTTATATTTCAGTTTCCCTCGTTTGAATTCGATCCGTAATATTTAATCGAGGCTCTAATTTTATTGGTATTAAAAGAAATTGTATATTGTTTGGTAAAATCCCTATCACACGCTTTTATTCTCTTCTTACGAAGAAGCTTGTCTACTTATTTTTACCCGTTAATAAAATATCACGAGTGAACGGAAATGTATAGAGCACAATCTAGAATATTTCAAATACCTATAAAAGGATGAATTTTAAAATTTAATCAGAATTTTTTAATCCTTTTTATTTGAAACTTTATTACCATCCTTTACTATCCTCCTTACTTCAAAATTTACCGTAAAAATTTCGCAACAACCTCGGCTGAATTTTCACGATCCTTCCCTCCTTCCCTCCAGAAATATCTCATTCGACTTGGATCGACGCAAGTTGGACGGACACGCGATGCGGCCGAGAGAAGAGAGTTTCTTTTTAAACGATGGCCCGTTCCATCGATTCCAGCCTGGCCAGCTCTTCGTGCAGAAATATTACGTGACGCCACGTGTTTCTGCTTCCCGTCACTAACAAACTCGAGGCTGTATGTTTCTCTTCCGAGGCGGTTGCACAGTAGCTAGTTGGAGGAACCTTCCACGAGCGTGTAAACACACGGTTGAAACGGACCCTGGGATCAGGGGCTTTCTCTCCACGGACCGTCAAAGGGATCTTAGACACCACGGTTCCGAGAACCGCTTCGACCATTGCGCTACCAGCATCCCCGTTTGCCACGTTTTGGGAAAATAAGAAACGAGGGTCGTGATGCGAGTTCGATGGAGCGTTCGAGGGGATAAATGGACAAATGGAGAGAAACGTGAAATTTCGTTGAAATTGTTTCTCAGAAACTCAGATGTTGGGTATATATACTACCTTTTGATTTGTGGAATAGTTTTGATGACGAGGAAAATTGGAAAAGTTCTGATAGATTTTTTTAGAATAATATTTTTAATGAGCGTAGAGGAAGAGATAAATTTAGAGTGATAAAAATGGAATATCTGGAATGATCTCTCGTTTAACGAAAGTTATGATTCGATATTAGGATTGATTTTACATCTGGAATGGAATTTCTCTCGTTATCCAATGGATAGTTTTGATAGAGAAAAATTGACTTATTTCGAAGGATTATTTTTCTTAGAAGTTATTTATCTTTAATTTTTGTATGTTATTTCAACGTATATTTATTCACGAGAAAAATTTAGATTATTACTGAAGAAACTTTTTAACGATCTAAAGTTAAAACTAAAATAAAATAAAAATGTAAAGAAGATAAAAATAATCTTTCTGAAATGTATCTTAATTTTTAAGATCCTATTTTAAAAAGTTAGAAAGATTTAAAGCGGATAAAATGATGCCAAGGCTAGAATAAAGAATTAACGAGCAACTCTCGAAGACTGTAATTTCTAAAAATATATATACCATATACCGAAGGATCTGAATATGTTAAATAACCGAACGGAAAGCAATGCACGGCGTTATCCATCGCGTTCGAATGGTGGAAAAAAAGGAAACTCGGTAAAGTGGAGCAGGAAATCTATAATCTTCTCCCCCTTTCTGTTATCGTGTATCGTATTTCCTCGTGAATATTTTCGCAACACGCGAACTCTGCTTCTCTTTCGAGCCTCTTTCTCTTTCGAAAGGGTTGGCTGCGATTAAAATGGCGACCAGAGGCCAGATGGAATTCTTGCGGAACGATTATTTCGGGACGGTGATCCTGCGGGACTCGTTGCACCCGAAAACATCCCCCTGACCAGCTGGATCGAATTACAGGGCCGTATCCTGGCACCGGTTCAATTTTCCAGCTAAATATACCGGCGATGTATATTTGGCGAATTGCTTGTTTCAGACTTGTATTAGCGTTCATGTTGAAGTGTTACAAAAGCAGCGTGGAATTTCGATTGAAAGCAATCGGGGAATAAGAGGCATTGAAAATCGAGAATATGATCGAGAAAATATGGTTCAACGGTTTGGAATAATTTTTGGTGAAAATGCGATTGAAAGTGGAGAATTGGAGATAAACGATTAAAGAGAAATATAAATTAAAAATATTTCACGTAAAAGAGGCACTCTAGTATAGAAATGTTTTTATTATGACCTGTAATTAATAATTGATTCAAATATTGCATCATGCGACCAATAAGTTGTTATGTAAAAGTATTATATAAAGATATTAATCTCATCAAGATAATGATACTGATCGATAAAAATTTATTGGCTCGCATAAATTATGAAAAATATCTCAGTTTACTTTGCGGTTATAGATATTGTACATTGTACGTATAAAAATTGTATGACTTTGATAAACAAATTATAGACACTTTATATATTGTTTTTATTGTCTTATGTTATATAATTGTGCAATTAAAAAAAATTAATTAATAAAAACAATACACAAGTGCATTTACGTATTGTTGATAAGGATGGTGTTTATGAACATAAGAAATTATTTGAAAATATAATCAAGAATCTTATTAATTTTGCATAAATATTATAGATAATGAATAATATATATATAAAATATCTGAAATATTGAATTATTAATTTGAAAAATATAATTTTGTTTTCTTCGCAACAAAAAATATTAGGGACATGAGTTCAAGTATTATATTGAATTATTTTATTAAATTGAAATTATATTAATTGTATATATATATTTAAAGTTATTGTTCAAAATCGAAACAATATATTTGATACGAAGTTAGGAAACTGTTTTATCAATGAAGGACCAATAGCAGCGCTCCTCGTAAAGAACTATTTCAGGATTTTGTTTGTAGGTGGTGGCGACACATGTCTTGCTATCTTACGCCATCTAGTGTTTAACTTTTAATCAATTTCAGGTTGTGATTCAAATCTCACAAGAATCGAGATAAAAAGAATGATTATTTAGAAAGTTTTTTCTATAAAATAATAACCTACTAACATTTCCCTCATAATGTTCTAAACCTTCTAAATAAGCAAATGATTAACGACTTTCTCAGGCAATGAAATTCATTAACGAATGAAAATATACAATTTTAATACAATAGCAATTCTTAATGAATTAATCAAAATATTTGTTAAGTTCAGTTATATCATTATAAAAGAAAAATACGAAAAACGAGCAAACAAATGGGCAAAATAAAATAACGTATTGAACATGCTCAAATAACATTATGAGCAAGAGACATGTCTTGTTCGAAAAGATAACTGTATATGACAAATTTAAAAAGTAATATTTTTATAGTGACATACCCAAATTTCCCAGTCCAATTGCTCCCACTCCTGGTTCAGGATTATTCTCATCCTAATATTACGTAGTCTAATGTTTCTAATTATATCTTGCACTGTTTTTTCCACAGAAAACGAAACATGTTTCTTTGGTGCACGCATGGCGTCGAACAATATTGCAAAACTATTCGAAAATTATTTGCGCGCGCTTCTCAGTTTGTTCGTTGTCGCCACCTTGTGACCATTTTCTGTATTAGACTAGCAAGAGTCGATAACATAGAATTCTACTGCATATAAATTCACAAATTAAATTTAAAATTTTTTTATTTTTTATTATAAATGAAATATGAAATAAGCATTTTAATAATGATTTTTTAATGATAGAAATTAGAGAATATTTTTAATTTCTTTACGATATTAATCACTATAAAATTGCTATGATTGCTATTAAAACTGCACTATGATTATTGTATCTACGATATAAAATTTTACTTCGTCATACGATTGAATTGTAAACGATACATTTGTATATTTACGAAAATATTTCCGAAAATGCTGACTTCCACGAAATATATTATTGGTACGTATGTATACATTCTGCAAAACAAAAGTCAAAACATTGAATATTTCTTATAACCATCTAATCATAATATTTCTTACTTTATCAGTTCCAGGAAAGATTATCTTCTATTTGGCGCGTAATTTTAGTAGAAGGGGAAATGTCGTTTCAGCCAATTAGAAAGTCCTTAGGCAATCCTGTAATGCGTAGCATTATAGTTCTGTCGAAAATCTTTGTAGTGTGACGTGTGCTGGCTTGTATAATATTAACTACGCAGTATGTATTTTTATTTTTATTTAACTGATTTTTATAGATTGACTGTTTTTATAGATTGATTTTTATACAACATTGTTAGCTTCTTTTATTTAACAATCCATTGAATGTCTCTAATAACAAAATTAACTAATTTCTCGAATATATTTTTCCTCGTATCGTATTTATTGGGGTTATAAATAGCTTATTTCAATCTTTAATACTGAATTTGAATTCAATTATAGTTTAATATATGTATTTTTTTTTTAATTTTATGCATTGTAAGTTCTACTTCTTTAAATTTGTTAATTTTTTTTCAGATTACTATTGGTTAATTGCAGGATGCAGAATGTAAAACACCATGATACGCCATATTGATTACGTAACAGTCAACGTATTTTTCAAAAAGATTCGGTAATGTATAATTTATTTTAAGATTATATAAACATATATATGCGGTTGAATTGTATATTTTTTCAATAATATTCGATATTCAATGTATAATTAATATATAATTCAATACGTAATTTATATATAATTTAATAATTTCGAAATATTCAATAACGATGAAAGATTAACCACACTTTTTATTTAATTTATTATTTGTGAAATAATAATTATTTAATAACTATTAAAAAAATAGTGAATACGCGATAGAAAATAGAATATAAATATACGAAAACAAATATTGTTTTTTTTTTAATCACCTTTCTCTTGTTCTATTAATGCAATTTCATTTTCAGAGCATTATTTTTTATTATGACCAAGTGCAATGTGGTCAATAGAATCGGTGTTTGTTGCGCAATAGTATTTTCAATATATTTCAGTGCATAAAATCCCTTATTTAATTTAATTATAATAATCATTCGCGAAATTAGAGTCAGTGTTTGTTCCTCTATAATAATTTCAGTAATTTTAATAATTTCATGTCAATAATTTTTTATTTATTTATTTATTTTTTTTAATATTCATTTTTATATATTAGAGTCAGTGTATCAAGAAAAAGCAGTCATCTGTCATCGTAAGGTAAGTCTTTTATTTATTTTTCTATAATTTATTTTATTCTTTTATTATTTTATTCTTTCTATTGTTTGTATTTTTCTTTTTCCTCAATATTATGGATTTTGTAGATATTGTACATATAAATGTATATATTGTATTTTGATGCCAATATTATATTTTATCTTTTTATGTATTTTTTGTCATATTAACTTATTAGAAACTAAATTCCATTAATATTATCTTAGACAATGAATCTTTTCTTTTAAGTGTGAACAATTTGAACACATTTTAACTTCTTTTTTAAGATATCTTGATTTATAATACAATATATTTAAAAAATGTGTTCAAGATGTTCATCCAAAATTATCAAATATTACTGTGTTTGGAATGTAGATCATCAATATATATATAATTGTGAAGAATATGATTTCACTTTTTCAAAAATTCCTTAAACATTTTATCTTCATTCTTCAATTTTTAAAGAATCATTCAAGGAATGAATCCTATCTACTCAGTGAATTCAAATATCTCTCCAAAGATCAGTCCTCATTCTCATTTAAAAAAGAGACTACCATTCAATCTTTGGGGGTATAAAATTCATATCGGTATCTTGAAAAGAATTTGTACTTCCATGAGAAATAAGCCATCCGTTCGCAATCGTTGCTCAGTAATAAAATCCACTCGTCTGGCGCGCTGCTTTCGGATTACTTTTTTATTAATTCTAAAGCGGAGGCGGAAAAGCAAATACTTCCAAATTATTCATAATCCTCAATGCTTTCGGAATCGGCATAATGGAAATCCATAGAGTAAAAGGCTTTCGTCGCGGTTCTGTTGATTCCTTTTTATCAATGAAATACCTTCTCCATTCCCTTCAAATGTCTGGAAAGTCGCACGAAAACAACTCGAAAATAATTTCAAGAACCTGGAACCGCCACTATTATTAGCGCTTCGTGCTTCACGATTCCAGTTACCACATCCAATGAGTCTCTTCGGTTTTAAAATCGTGAAATTTATATTAAAACGTTCCCTACGAATTATTTTTCGCCATGGAAAATTATCCACTGTAGAGAAAGGAGAGAAAGAAGAGAATTGCTGGACCAGACTTCGGACCGGAAGAGATTTAAATCTCACTCTTCCTCGTTTATAGTCTGATTCTCTCTTTCTCTTTCTCTCTCTCTGTTTGTTGTTTCTCTATGACGTTGCGGAAACAGCCGTGCCATTATGCGTTTCCTGCAGTTGACGTTCCATCTCCCTTCAAGACAGAGCTAATTTCCCGGATTTAATTAGCCGGCGCGTAAAGGCGGCTCCTTTTAATCGAGGATTAATTTGCACCGTTTGTATGCGTGTCTGCTTTTACATTTCCTTTTCGGTTACACGCCTCTTTCTCTCCATTCGCATGAGCCGTTTTTGGGATTGAAATGGATATGGTAGATACAGTCCATTGAGATTCGGGCTTGTTCATTTTGGGCTGTTATGAATATCGATAGTTTGAATGTTATTTGGATTCTGAATATAATTTCTGTATTTATCGTTAAGAGGTTTAAACGTTAATTGGAATTACTTGATTATATTGTATTTAAGTTACTATGCGATTTCTAATTATATTAAATTGGAATGAAGTGGTTCTAGATTCAAATCAGAATCAAACTAATCTAGATTCGGTTATATTGATGTTAGGTTTATCAAACGGAAGCTAATCGTAGAATAGTTAAGATAAATCTTCGAAATGGGAATAGGATTAAGCTCGAATCATGATCTAATTACCTTCGTTCTAATTTCTGACTTATTTCATTTATGTGAAAACAAGAGAAAAAATTCAAAAATTCAATTACATTGCTTTTTTTTTCATTTTTTTATGTCGTGTAATAATCAAAGAAGAATATTAATTATTTCTATAAATAATTTTGCGATTTATGGAAAAAAGATATTTCATCTTTTTTTTTTACTTTCCATCTTTTCATAATAAAATATATTTTTCAGTTTTGTAACTTTTGTCACGTTAGCTGACGAAGCTAATGAAAAAATCTTGTGACACTGAAAAATAAATTCTATTTTTATTAAAAAAAAAATACCTATATTACTTTTTCTATATTAATTTTTTGCAAATCGAACGAAATATAAATAGTTAATAATTAAAAAAATTTAAAAATTCTCTCACTTGCTCATAACTCGATAAATTCTCTCCGAATTATCATCTTTCAAATTTTTTTCCTTTCCCTCTGCATTTCTTGGCCAAATAATTTCTTGGTAAAACGATGATCGTGCATCGAATGGATCCTCGTCCGATTGAATTTTTTAACTAAACAGGCGCGTGTGCAGGTGTGCTGGAATTTATCCAATCCGCAGATTAGATTGCTCCTGCGGTTCTCCCATCCCGATACGCGCGTCCGTCGAGATTATTAAAACATCCTCCGTTATTAATCCGTCCCGTCACTCGAGACCCTCGACGAGCACTTTTCCCGCATTTCCCACAGGTTTCCCCCCTTTCTCTCCCTTCCCTCCCTCCCTGCCCCGTTTTCGATTCTAATTCAATCACGCGATTCTCCTCGAGAACTCTTCTATTCCCCCCACGATTTTTCACCCTCCAATGTCATCGGCGTCTTGGGGGGAGGAAAAAATTCGTAGCGGTTCGTAAAAATCCTTCTTCCCGATCTTTTTTCGAGGCTTTGAAACGATTATTCGGGACGAATGACTCGCGATGATTTTCAATTCATCATATATACGTGTATATTCATATTTTCTTTCTGAAAGAGGAAGCGCGCAGGTCAGAATGGGGGAAGGGGGAGGAGGAGGGGATTGTTTGCCGAGTCAGGGGAAAGTCAAGGGTTGTAAAGTGGAAGTTTTACTGGAATATTCGTGGGGTTTCGAGAGGGAATAGTAAGGGATGAAATTCTGCTCATGATTGGAATGTTTTTCGGGAAATGTGTTCGGGAGGAGGGGAAAAGTTTCGAGGGAAGGAAGTGCGTTCGACGTTTTTATGAAGTTTGTATAAATGTGGGAAAAATTGGGAAAGCGTGAAATCAGCTTCGTGATCGAGATAATAATTTTGTATATATTTTGGAATAGGATGGATGCTTCATTATTCCAAGGGAACGAAGTAAATCTATTGTTATTAACATCTTGTTGTTACAACGCGAATGTTTATTTTCTACGCGATTGGTATTCATGAGCGTGCCTGATGATTCTCAACTAGCTTGTTATTATTTCGAGAAAAATATAAAAATAGAAAAACCCTCTGATTTTCTGATTTTTCGTTGAAAATGTGATAAGTAGAAAAGTAGAGAATTAACGAATATACAAGATTGTACATCATTCGATTAATTTTTTTCTTACTTCCTCCCTTGCACGTACAATATCTCATTAAACGTTCAACATCAAATCGTGTAATTACTATCAGTACAATATCGTAAAGAAACGGTTCGCGACGCTGTATTATTTTAAAAAATTCCTCTTTTCACCAACAATCGACCCCAAATCCCCTCGCAAGAAAATGAATTCGGATGAAATTAAACTACACCACGAGGAAAGCATCGTGCCCTAAAATACAATGACTGAATAACTGAATTCTACAACCGAGAAAATGTTTCCAATTCCAAAGAATACCTTCAGAATTCTCATTGTCCAAAGGCGACATTGCGACCCAACCCCTCTCCCACCCCCTCTCTCGAGCCGTGCACGGGAACAAGGAGCGGGCGTAACGAAGTGCAAGTGGCAGAAATTCAGAGGCACAAGCCAGGTAGCCGCGAGGATAGGAAGGCGGAAAATTGTAGGTCCGTGTTTCGCGCTTGTCGAGGATGTAATTAACGAGCGTCACGTCGAAATTACGTCCCGGCCCGGGGGAGGAACGAGGCCTGCATCTTCAGGGTCGGGAAGGGTTGGTGTCTCGCGCTAATTTACCCCCTCATCCCTTCGTCGAACGCATCGCATCGGCCGCCTTTGTGACATTCATCCCTCCCTGGAAGAAGCATCGCGAGGAGAATCCCCTCCCTCCCTTAAATAGACGCTCCTTGGAAGGATCGACGAGCTGATGGCAATTATTTTCTTACCTGTCCCCGTTTCTACCAGCCATCCCTTAATTATAAGAGTCGTGTAGTAGAGCCACTCGCAATTACCTAACGACGACCTGCATCGTCGAATGAATTTCGAGTTCGAAAATCGAGGGAAAGGGGTAATCGCGTAAATAGCAGAGTGTTCGAAATGTTGGAGTTTCTTAAGACGTTATGTAGCATTGGCGATCAAAGATCCAAGTAATTCGAGCAGTGTCCTTTGATTTAAGTATTCTATATGGGATTGGAATTCTGATTGGATTTCTTTTTTTTCTTATTTTTTATTTTAATCGAGTTATTTTTTGTGGTTGCTAGATACTTTCGAAGCATCTTTCAAATCGAAGTGGTATGGTGTTTCTCGAGTTTAATTGGTAAATTTGATGAGAAATTAGGAATTTTAGAATGTAGATTTTTCCTTTTGTAGTTTCTTGTAGTTTTGTAGTGTACGAGATGGGATTGTGAAATATTGAAAAAATAAGGAAGAAAAAAAGAGAAAGAGAGAGGAAAATTAGGTATTTTGCTAATGGATTTCTCAATGAAATTAAGTAAGGTCTTTTTTTTATCTTCTTCTCTATGAGGCTTCATAAATATGCATAATGGAAAAATATCACAATTTGAACGGAGTCTTATACTGTCAATTAAATCCAATCTAGAGATCTCTCCTTCATGTTTCTTAATTATTTAGTTGACCAATTAACATTCCATCTGCTCCATCGATGCTCACCAACTCGTTAAACAATTTGCTGGTTGCATATTATGATCTTCTAAAAATTCTACGAAATTCCCGTACAACAAGATTCTCAATTCTTTAACAAACAATTGTCTTCCAATCAAATCAGAAATTTCGATATTCCCTAATTTGCTGTTCGACGAGGTTCGAAAGAGCGGGAAACGATAAAGCCTTCCACTTTCGGTTCATCATCAGAGTTCGATTCATCGTATCAGGAGATCGATGGCCGAACGAAGTTCAATTTCGTTTCCATTCGAACGGGAGAAAAATCTTCTTAACGATGATAGCCAGACAGAGACTCTTTCAGGGCGAGCAAGTGTGATTTCCTTTCGTTGAGGAACCGCCTCGTGTTTCTGTCGGGTTTAAGGTCAGCCATTTTTCCGCGACAGAGCGGTGGACGTAAGAGGATTAAGCCAGTTTTCTTGCGGAGGATTTGCCACGTTGCACAGATGCTGCTTGTTCGCCATTTCTGCTCCTCCTTTCCCTGCCATTTCGCGGGGGACCATCCTCGATGAAATTAACGAAGGATTTATTTTATTCCTACTCGCTTTTGCGAATTACTTTCGAATATTTAAAGTTAATATTTAAAGTTAAAGCGAATTTTATTTACTTTTTTCCTCGATCGAAGAGAAGATCTTCGTTTCTTTGTTAATATTTTTGGAACCTTGGGAGGACAAGAGTTGAGGGTTATAAGGATGTTCAGAATGATGAAATTAACGAAGGATTTATTTTATTCCTACTTTTGTGAATTACTTTCGAATATTTAAAGTTAATATTTAAAGTTAAAGCGAATTTTATTTGCTTTTTTCCTCGATCGAAGAGAAGATCTTCGTTTCTTTGTTAATATTTTTGGAACTTTGGGAGGACAAGAGTTTAGAGTTATGAGGATGTTCAGAATGATGAAATTAACGAAGGATTTATTTTATTCGTACTCGCTTTTGCGAATTACTTTCGAATATTTAAAGTTAAAGCGAATTTTATTTGCTTTTTCCTCGATCGAAGAAAAAGTCTTCGTTTCTTCGTTAATATTTTTAGAACGAGGGATAAAAGTTGAGGGTTGTGAGGATGTTTAGTAAGAGTGAGGCGTATTATTTAATTTTGTGGAGGGAAAATCGGATGATGGGATAAAAATTGTAATTTAGTCAATCATAAATTAGCAAAATATTTCCCGTTTTCGTGTATCTTCTAGAAATCTTCCTCTTTGTAAATGATAGACGATATTTCAAATGATTCGAGGAAAGATTTTAGCCTTTCGAGAACGCAAAGAACTATAAACCGATTTTTCGATTTATTTTACACCACATTATTTCCTTTTATTTCATTCATTTCAAATTTCTCTATACTACGAAACTATATTATACTATAGATAGAAAGTTAATCATGTCGAATAACATCATAATTAATGTTAAACACGATCCACAAAATAACAGGAAATATGGGATAAAATAAACGATCGAACGATCGAACAAATCGAAATACCGTTTCAACGGGTCTCGAATCGCAAAGCCAAATTTCACCGTTCACCGAAATTCCTAAGTAAATCAATTCCGTTATTGTTGGCGGTGAGAGACGATTGGAGCGAGGCGAACAAATAGCCGCGTATCGGAAAAGAGTTTCCCGGGAAGGAAAATTACATCGGCTCGTCCTCATAGCTCGCTATTACCAACCCCCTCTGCCTGTGCATTCGAACCGAATTAGAAAACTTTTCGCGTGATTAATCCCGAAAGGGTAACTTGGAAACGATCGAAAGAACGGTTCGAGGATCGAAATTAAAACTCTCTCTCTCTCCCTCCCTCCCTCTCTCTCTCTCTCCCCCTCTCCCTCTCTCCCCCTCTCCCTCTCTCCTTTCGATCTTGATATATTAATCATTCTTGGGGCAAACGGTTCTCGCGGTTTTCCGTGTCAAAGACGAGCCCTCCTTTTGTTCAACCTTGGTCAAAAGGGATTAGATTAATATCGCGGCTCGTGGAGGCTCGATATTTAACCCGATGATGGAGAATGGTTGGTCAAAGAGAGAGGAGAGGATTCTTTGAGCTCGTTTCGAGGGATGCCGGTGGATTAAACGGATGAAGATTAAAAATTACGAAAGTGTGTGGGCCGACCCGCACATTCAGTTCACAAGAGTTGAAAACTTCTTCCGTGACGCCCTCGAATTCTCTTCTTCGCCGGAGAACTATTTTACCGCTCGATGGATCAATTCGAGAGGATGGTTCGAGTTAATTAAACGTTATGATTCTCAACCGTTATGTACTCACGATGTGGGGTATGCGGTGTGGCGTGTTGGCGTGGTAGGTCAACCTGAAACGAGAAAACGGAAACGTGTTACGTTAATTGGAGATTTTTGATAATCATCTCGTGGTTTGGTTTATCATTTCATTACTTAATCTTTGATCGAGGATCTTTGTTTTCTTAATGGAGGATAGGGGGAGGGGCAGTTGGAACATGAGATCAGGTATTTGTTATTTACTTTAGTCGTTGATGTTATTCTATTTCTCGATATATAAGGGAATAAATTTCATCTTTACGAGAACGAGACCAAGTTTACATTTAATTAATTATCTTGTACATCTTCGCTCGTTTGAAGGATCGTTCTTTGATGTTAATTATGAATATTCTTGGATTCGTTAAAAGTTACGAAATAGTGTCTTTCACTTGTTCCACGATACCTCGCTATCTTTTAACACTCTCTTCAGGAGCAAGTAAATAGCCCGTTTAGCCCCAAGCTACTATATCTCTCGAAAGTGTATATACACAAACGGAAACACACTTCCTCGTTACGTTCCTTCTTATATATTTTTCTCTTCTAGAAATCTTCTCGGTGTAACCAATACCATCTTTCATATTATATTTAAGGGAAATATATACTTGACGCTTTTTCACACACAAACCTTTTGAGCGTGTCGCAATCCCGTATTCTTTCTTTTTAAAAATACGATTATCAAACAACATGAATCTTCTCACAGATATTATTCCAAAATTCGAAAATAAAGTCGATCGTTCATTTTATTTTATTTATTCAAAAACTTCCTCGATCCTTTCGAAATTTAATTATCGTTCCTCGAATTTCTATTCACCCTCTTCCACAATAATCTACCTAAACCATACGCTCATTTTAAGACGAATATCCCTGCGTTTTATCTCGATTCGATTTCGAAGGTATCGCTCCCCAATCAATACCGATAATCCTCGTCGCTATTCAAAACCACGGGCGCTCGAAGATCTCTCGAAGGGAAAAGGGGAAGAGGAAGAAGAAGAAGATTCCTGTTCTTCCACGAGTCTCGCGGGTGCATTCCAGGATCCATTTTCATTCTGGTCGCTGGTCGAAAATTTCCAGGGGAACGCGAAATTTGAAGGGCGGGTTTCGATTTAAAATGGAAATGGAGATCGGAGGGCGGCGAAAATAAACGATGCCCGAGTGTAAATTACGAGGAGGGGAGGAGGGTGGGGGTCAGAGAGGACGGCAATTTCGAGAATCGGCGGGCAAAACGTTGTTTCGACGCTGATCGATATTTAAAGGGGTTATCGAACAGGCGACCACGATTGATTGTCCACCGTTGGCGGATCTGGTTTTGCCTTTTTTTTCGCCGTTCTTTGGATTTCGCGCCTCCATTTCTCTTTTTTTTTTTTTGCCTCGCTTTGCTTTTGTCTGCTGATGATTGTGATTTGGATCTTTTCGGGGAGAGGAAGGAGATCTCGTCGATTTCTGTTTGATTTGATTGGCTTTTTGTCGCGAATGAAAGTTTGAATGAAAGTTTTAAAAACTTGAATTCGATTCGATCAGATAAAAGAGGTTTTTACACCGGTCAAAAGGATAGAATTTTATTATTGTAGAGAGTTTCTTTGAGAGAGTAAAAATTGTATCACCTTCTCTGAGAAAGTTCTCTACGAAGAAATCTTGTTAGGGGTTGAAAAACGGGATGTGAATGAAGATATAAAAAATTTGGGGATAAAAATTGAATATGTGTTTGAGAACGAGAGATTTCTTAGATGAATTAGATGATGAGGAAATGTAGGTTTTTAGGAAAGAATAATTCGAGAAACGAAAAAATAATTTCAGGGACCAATAATAACGAAATCCCTTCAAGATTTCTATTATTATGTTTTTAAAAGTAATACCATCTACCCAAATCATCTTCCTCACCCAATTCATCAGACAATCCAGACAATCTTTCTTCTTGTTGAAAGAGCTTCTTGAAAAAGCACGTAGCAAGAGAAGGAAATGACATTTCCATGCTTGTCTGCACAAAAGGAGGGAAAAGAACAGGCGTGAAATTCAATTTCACCGATGGCGAGGTAACATAGTGAAAACTTAAACAAACGGCAAAAAAGGGTTGGAAAATCGGGTTACTTCGACGTTAATCGGATCCATCGCGCTCAAACAAATTACATCCATTCTATTAACGCTACATATATTATACTTGCAATACGATCAACGAGCCCGATCGAACAGGCGTTAAATCGAATCGACAGGAATGAGTTCACTCTGAAAAATTCAAGAGAGAGAGAGAGAGAGAGAGAGAGAGGGGGAATGAAAAAAGAAAGAAAAACCGAGAAAAAAGTCGATCGATGCTAGGCAGAAAAGGATGAATAGTGGAAAAATGGCGGAGATCGAGGACAGTCGAGAATAATAAATCGCGCGTGTACGTATCCTTTTTCGAGTTGAAACTATCGGTGTGTGCCCGTTTTAGGAAGAGACCCTTGTAGAAAATCCATGTTTCTGCAAACATGGTTCGAATTACTGGACCGGTTGATGAATCTGATCGCGTACAAGTCGTGGATACTCCATTCCTCTCTTGTTTCATTCTCTTAGTTTTATCATTAATCGAGTTTCTTCTGGAAGGTTGATCTTTCTTTGGAAGGAGGAGGAGAAAGGATGACGAGGATCGAAATATAGGACGTAGCCAATTGCATTTTACATCGGGTTTGGAAAAAGGGGAAATTGAAAACGGGGGATTTTTAATCAGAGGAATAAAATTCACAGGGGAAACGTCAAAAGGGAATAATCGTTATTATGGACTAACTTTCATTAAAATTCTTGAAGGAAAGATCCGTGAAAGAATGAATGAAGAAACTCACCCCTCGCGTAATCATCCCTCTTACAACTTCTAATCAACCAATTTCCTCCTCGAATTCAAATTAAGCAATTCAATTTCTCCCCTATGTAATTCTATGCAATTTTTCTAACCTCATTATCTCAATATTTATATATAGAAATCTTGTAAAATTTAAAATCATCTAATCGATTACGATTTATATATTACCAAAAAAGATTTCGAAACACCGCCTTTCTTCCAAATCTTTCTTCCAAAATCGTTTTAAATAGCTAGGAAAAAATTATAGTTGTTACCAATAAAATAAAATTCGAAGTTAATCCAGGATATTCGCGATAATCATCATCCCCGTGACAAAAGCATGGAACACCACCAGCTTGAAAGATCAAGATCTCGCAAAGATCGATGCAGGAAGAATTCGAACGCGATTGCTCGCTTGGGGATGAAGACGGCGATTTCCGGCCGCGTAGCTGAGAGCTCAAGAACTGTAAAGCAATTACTTTTAACTCCGTTTCGTAATCGATCGCTTAGCTAGCGGCCACTACGTGACCTGTATCGTCTCGTTTCCGTTCACCACTACGTGTCTCACGTTCCCCTCGTATTTCTATATCGCTTACCAACCAACCGCCTTCCGTCTTATCCAATTCCCAACGCGGCTCTCGAGCCGGCTACTTCCGACCGATAATAAAATCCGGAACTAATATCCTAGGGCTGCGTCCAATGTTCCTTCGGGATGGTGTATCGATCACGTCGTGCACGTGACAATGGACACGTGAAAGGTGTTGCTGCTCGTGCACAGGAAATTCCAGAATTTATTTATTTTATCTGTAAATGAACAAAGTCCATCCAAAGAAAAAAGAAGAATTGGAATTGTTTAGGAAAGAAATTTTACTTTTTTGGGGGAGGAGAATTTTTAGAAGAACGACGAGTGAAATTGTGAATCTCTTATATCGATCTTATGCTCTGTATTGCTGAATTTAATTTTGAAATTGATAATTATTGATTCTATTGAACGAGATAGCAAGAGAAAACTTTAAATTTCAATGAGTTTAGTATTTCGAAAATTATACGAGATTAGAGACAATCAAGTTGTTTAATACTTTTCATGGAACTGGAACGGGACATCGATCGTTTAGTACGATTTCTACTTTCGTTCGAAAACACTTGCCAAAGATCTCGTTCCTGTTCCCTTCATTTAAGTTGTTAACCGCGCTGTCGTTTTGCAAAGTTTCGACCGGGCGCCATTACCCGCGACAAGTTCCATTACCACGCACGAGGATGCTTGCATGTCCCCTCACGAAACACTCTTCGATCCTCTACCCTAATCACTTCGAATTGCGGATATTGTCCGTGATGAACATCGATAATCTCATCGATTCGTGTCATTTTGACCATGCACCGATCGTTTTCTCGTTTCAATTAAAAATAATAAAACAAGAAAAAAAAAAAAACGATTAGAAATCACAGAGAGAATTAGAAATAATCGAAAACTAATAGTTTGAAGTATTTATTGAAAAAGTAATCCTATGCTTACAATTGAAGAGAGAGAGAGAAAAGAAAAAGAATATTTCAATTAAACTTCACGTTCGAAGAAAGATATTCCTTCAAAAGATATTCAAAGAGAAATCCTTTGGAGAAGTTGAGGAAAATGCGTGGATAAATAATAATGGTGGATAAAAAAAATTTCCTTCTCGGAGGAACGAACGGGACAGATGCGACCCGCTGCGTCTGTAATTACATCGTGGTGAACCGTGGGGATGGCCGTGTATTTATGCGGTAATGGATATACCACGGGCTACATACTTGTCCCGGATAATGGCGTGTTGCACGACGGGGACGTGGAGAACGCGGCGGATAAAGTCTGCGGTCGCGTCCCGTTGAAAAATTCATCCGCGGAATCGGAAACGTTCCGCGGGAATAATAATTCATAGCTCGTGACGGATTATTACGACCGAGGCATTCACGGCTCGCGTTCTCATTTCGAAGGGCGAAGATCGTATTCCATCCAAGAACGGTTTCACAAAGAGACAGAGTTGCAGAGTTTGTTTTTCGAAAGTTGAAGGGAAGCAAGTTGGATTCTTTTAGGTTTTTGGGGATGATTCGAGGGTAAAATTTAAAGTTAGGATATAAGTTACACGACTATAGATTATAATTCTCTTTCTTGTAATTTGTATTTGGGTAATGAATTACGATAAGCGGTTATAATGTAATTAAAATGATATATGAAGATTCTTCAGAGAATCGTGCATCGTCGAATCGTGAAGAAGAATGGAAATCGAGATAATTACGTTACGTGGTTTTATACGTTCGTTATAATCGAAATTTTGGTGTATGAAATTACAGTTCGGTTGGGTAATCAATATTGTTGCAACCGATACCATCAATCATTAATTTGTCCAAACACTAGAATCATTTTTTCGCAAACCAGTCTATATTTGTATCTCGCGTATCTATCGCATATAACAATCAACCGAATTGTTCCATTTCCCATCATTCCATGTGCTTCGGTTTCCCGCTGACGAATCAAATATTTGAAGTCGAATCGAATATCGAAAATTTGATGCTACGTTGCAAAAAAAAAAAAAAGAGGGGAGAGAGAGAGAGAAAAAAAACATCACTCACCCTCTATCGTAAATTGGCTTTCCAACGATTCTGTTTAACTCTGTACTCATTGGTACAGGACCAAAGTCCATTGTTACGTCCGTGTACGTGGTTAATGGATACGCGTGCCGTAAATGTCCTGGTTAATGGCGGCGCGGATTATCGTGCAATGGCCATTTGGTCATTGTGTCGTATCATGAGGAAAAAAAAAAAAGAAAAAAGAAAAAAAAAAAGAAAAAAAGAAATTCGAGACATAACGCAATTTCATCCACTGTTCATAATCACTTACTGTAATTTTCATTTCACAAAGTTGCTCATTATGCGTTAGTAGTTTCATATAATTTAGGTTAGTTTTCGCGGGAAGTTTGAAATTGAAATTATAGATCGAAAAGAAACATTGTTTTTGATCGAGGTTAAATGAAATTGCCGATCGTTCATTATTTCAAAAATTAACTTTCCATGGAAATTTCGATTGTGAAATTATGAAATGTATTTAGAATTTAATTTGATTGTAAATAATACTTCGAATTGAGAAATTTAAAGAATCTTGACGAATCCTTTTGCAAAGATACGATTCTCTTTCGAAATTCTTCGAAATAGAATAAAGTATTCTGATAATCTTATTATCAGAATAAATACTTCACTACATTTATATTATACCGTTTCGACACTTCTAACGATATTTCCAAAAAATCGTTGAACGTTAATCAACCGGGTTTAACGTGTTTCGCAATCTATAAGGAATTAATCGATGCAGAGTCGCAATAATGATCTCTCATTACGGCGTGAAAGCCAATCAGAGTCCAACGGTGCAGAAACACGGCAAATGGTGATCGCAAGGAAATCCTTGCGCCCCGAATAACCCCTCATAGATCCTCAGAAGAATCTCGTCTTAAACGAGGTGAGGTAATCCTCGTTGGTGTCCGATTTTCTTCCTTTTTTTTCTCTCTTTTTTTTTTTTAGATCGTTGAGACAAAACGGCAAAGTTAATCTCGATATCTTTGCGGTTGAGAGGCGGATGCAATAATAATGAAACCTCTCGAACGATTAGGGGGTGAACAGGGCGTGCATATCGTTATCACTTCCGCTCGATCGCGTATTACGTCCTATCGAGATTTCGCTGATCGAGCCTGGAATAAAGTGGAAAGTATCGACGATAAGGTCGAAGGTGCTTTGTGATAACCCTTGTTGTCGCGACGTGGCCATCGATTAATCGTTGAAGAGTTCTCTGAACCGTGACACAAATATTTGAGAATCGAACAATTCGTTGAATTCGTTTCGATTTTTCTTTTTACTTTTCGATTTAATTTAATTTTTCAGTTTATTATTTTTCAATTCCAATTATTAATATTTGGTCAAAGTTATTTCATTTTTGGATAATCTTATTTACAAAATTAACATCATCTAGTTCTTTGAAATATGACGCTTTTCAATTTTATTGCATGGAAATCGATATTTTTCGATTCGATCCAATTCGAATCCCATAAAAATCGAAGCCCTCGAATCTTTAAAAAGTCTCTAATCCCTAAATTCAATTTTCCAGAGAAATCTATATCCATAAAGATCCGACTCCCTTTTCAAACTCGTCTGTATCCATAGATACATCATTCACGTTCGATCATTCGTTCGACTTAAATATACGCGTGATGAAACAGTGGCAACAATTATTCGCGATATTAATCGAACGCACGACACTCCTTTCGTACTCCTTTTCGTTATTTAACGACGAATTTTTGTCCACCGACTCGCTCGTGGAAAATATATTCGACTCAGTTCGGTATTCGAGTATATCGAAAGTGCGCAAGGTGGTTCAGTTATTCACAGAGAGGCAGCCATCTATGCGGCCTCCTCACCGGAATTTCGAAATGGAATTCCTGTCGCGCGAAATTTCGCGCTGATTGGTACGCACCAAAGGGAATAATAAACGGAGACGCATCTAATTTCACGTGTCGAAGACGAGACGGTAAATAATAGAGTAGCTGGCACGTAACAAAGTGTGAGATAACGCTTTGCTTGTTTAATTCACGTTTGATAATTTAAGAATCACAATTGTGTTCGTCTACAACGCTCATTATACTTTTACTTTCGTGTGGATGCAATTTATTTTTTCGAAACGAAATATTCAAGAGAATTATATCGAATAATATAATTCCGAAACTTGAGAAGAATTGCAATCAAATTAACAATTGGTAAGAATTATTTTGACTTTCTTGAGATATATAATTTGAAAGAATTATTATTTATATTCGATATATTTCTGAATAATATTTTATATTTCATATTTCGTCGCTTCGTAATTGCGCCCTTTATTTGAAAAAAAAATCATAATAAATCGTTCATTTTACGAAATGAATAAAAAAAAAGAATTCCAATATTCGTAATATTAACGTAATAAAAACGCTCAACATAAAAAATTCCCCCTCTTTAATACCGCTCGAGAAAACTTTTCCATGCTATTTCCACTTCTCTAACTTCTATCTCTTCCCCCCAAACTTTTTCAATATTTTCCCTACGTTAGAAGTTTTACTCGCCGCTATATCTTAACGCTGTTATACCAAAACAACGTATCCATTCTATCCGTTAAGTACCCTCCCATTCCCTTCACCAGGGATGACCTGTATATACCATTCGACTTTAAAATCGAGGAAGATACTATAATAGCCGGCCGATCATCGGCCTTTCTCCTTCTCCTCCTTTCGTTTCGCCGTGCAAATTCCACGGCACGGGTGCTATCGTGATCGTGAACATCCCCCGTTGTCGTTGCATCCAACAGCTGCCAATTACGCTTTCTTCTCGCGTGCAGAACGCTCGCGTGTCTTTTGCACACCGTCGAATCTACCGTGTTGTCCCTAATTATGGTAGCTCGACCTTGCGCCACGGTGAAAATTACCAGTTTAGACACTAGGAGGGGAGGACTGTTGGTTTCTATCCCAACAGTCGAAATAGTCGATTATCCCTCTTCCTCGCGAACGAGTTATTTTTAACTCGTTGTTGCGTGTAAACTCATACACGGATATGTTAAATAATTTTAACACGAGATCTCAAGCTTCCATACACACTTCTTTAAAAAGATTTTTAGCGCCAAGATTAATCAAGAGGTAATTTTCGTTGTACAATAGCACGCGCTCTTTTTAGGATGTCCCTGGTATCATATCATTCCTTCCCTTTCTTTCTATAAATCATCGAGCATCAGTCAACACTTCCCGTTATCGTCTCAACGAACGATTCCAACAGGTTCTTCTTGATCAAATACTTCTCGTTTCTCCCTCTCATAATCCAGCTTCGCCTACGTGAACAGGTTTCACGATCGTCGAAAGTTGTTCCGGTGAAGAACCGTGAAAGAACCTGTCGCGTAACTAGGTTATTCAGGTTATTATCCGAATCTGAGCCGTTTAATCGTCGAATTTGCCACTTCGACTTGAATCAAACGATACTTCATCAACCGATAATCGATCTCCCTTTTTCCCTCGATATTTCGTTTTATCGAGGGAATCATCCTCCGATAAATTGGATAAATTGTACAATATCGAAGGAATGCTCGCCTTGAAATATCTCGGATGTATTTTTTTTCCAGATGCAAATCCGTCGAGGATTTTATAATAAATCTTCTCGGCGAGAAGACGGGATATAAATAATAAATACTTGTTTTATCGTTGCAGCAAAATCGTGATATCGCGTCGAATTTATCGCGATCCCTCTGAACGGTGCATCCAGCAGGATGATTTAATAATTCATAATGGCGGTGTAACGGAATAAAAGGGTTGTTCTAGATTGTGCGCAAGGTTGCGATATAACGGAGCAGGGGGAAAGGATATATCGATCGAAAACGGGAAGTTTGTTTATTCTCGATACCGGGGTGAATCGAATTTCAAAGGGAAATTTCACAGGAGAAGAAAGACAAATTCAGAGACTTTGCCAACAAGATCCCTCGTTCTCCACCATTCTCATCCTCTCGTAAATAATATAACTCGAACCTGGAGTGGATCGTGGATAAATCATTTACTAGGATGACTTCGAATGAAACTTTAATGGAAACTTGGCCGCGATACAAGAAATCGAGTTGAAGGGACAGCTTGAAACTCGAACCATATTTTGATCGAGCGATTTTACTAGATTAAATAAGGAGAAGAGGATGACTATATCTCTCCTATAAATTATTTAACGCTTTGAATTGGTAAATACGCGAAACCCGACTAATTTGACTTATCGTTAAACCACGTAAGTAAAAAATTCGATACAATCTCCCTTCTGCATACGAAAAACTGCTATTAGCATTT